AAGAAACTAAATAATGAAGAATCTGCATGAATGTTTTTCTCCCATTGTGAAAACACAACGATACCTAAAGCCATAAAATTTTGAATAACGTAGTCCGCCAACCGAACATGGGCATTTAGAAGCCCGAAGTTTGAATTTCGAATTTGTTTTATTATCTGTTTCAGATTTTGTAAACCTTTAACGAATTTTTGATTAACAAACTCAATGATTTCAAAGCGAGCAATGGCAACACTGTACGGAAAAAGAAGCATTTTTTTATCTCCAACGAGCGAGACTGTGTATCGGAAATTCTAAAAATATGCTCTTTTTAAATTTTTGTGATAGTGCTGTTGAATTGAATTTCATGTGGTTTAAGTGCGCAGATCATGATATTTAGTAAATAAAGGTAATACACAACACGTTAAAAAAAACGCCCTTTTGGGCGTAATATAAAATCTTAAAGCTTTCAGATTTTCTTTCTTTTTTTTTTTTTTTTTTATTTCCCTTTTAATGGAAAAAAAAATTATAGTGACACATCATTCAAATATACGTCTAGTGCACCTTGTCAAAGATGTAACAAAGTAATATAACCTGATTTCATTTATGCTTCACATACCTCTCAGTTATGCGTCGCAGAATTTTCACTTCTTTTGTTTTTCCTTTCTGCTAAATACGGCTCTTTATGAAATTTCAATACCCATAATAGTTTCCTTTTATTTCCACTTCCCTTTATCTGCTTTACAAGATTATTCAAAATAAGGTCTGTATCCTCGCATTATCTTTCATCTATGATTGAAGGCACTTCTGTAGGTCTATTTAGAATTTCGGCTAAGGGAGTAAATTATTGTCTTGTTAGGTTAGGTTAATTGACTAGGGCAAAGGAATCGCAGCAACAGGAAGGCACTAGAATCTCGAGGACTGCCTGCCTAACGAAAAGGATGCCGTTGTGAATGTCGTTTTAAAGGAAACAGCTTTACTTTAAACGTGGCGAAAAGTACGAAGACTCCCACTGGAATTAAACCGGTCATAGGAATCTAAACCTTGGTTCAATTATCAGTTTCCAGCGATATTTATTCCTCGGCTGTTGGTGGGTCTTCTTAAAATGGAAAAGAGATTTAAAGACAACTGGTTAGGTTGTTCTTCTGCACTTAGATGCCAAAAGATGCCAAAAGGATATCACATCTTGAAAGCGGAATTCATTCCAGCTATAAAAATAGTGAAAAATTCAACCAAACATAAAAATGTTTCAGTGAAAAACATTTTGTTTTAATGTTTTGAAGAATAAAATTGTAATTAATTTTTGTAATGTTTTGAAGAAGGTAGCGCCTCAATTTATCTATCAGTTTGAGTCAGTGAAACTATAAGTGCTAATTAGTGGCGCTGACTGCTATACTGATGGGCGCGGTTTCGGATCCCGAAGAAGGTATGGATGTATGTAAACATACAGTTCTGCAACGGGGCAGTCAAAATACACGACGAGCCGTAAATTCTCTCCAGCGGTAGGAGAAAAGATCTTGGAGACCCTGGGAATGCCACCCCTATGGTGTTCTCACTCAAAATTGGCACGTAAATTAATAGCCGGGGATACCTAATGTACGAGGTAATGTATCTAAGTGAATGTACAGGTACCAAACTTGCTTCAAACTTGTCCATAAACTGTATGTTATTCTCTCGATGTGACAGATCAACTCTGTGCTCTGTGTGATATTACGCACTTCCAAATGACCTTCCGAATAGCTCCTTATGCATCATTAATCCCTTAACTCTGTTTTATTGCTGAATGAACATTTGTATTGCACTGTATTAAGATGCTAATATCGTACAATGACTTCTGCACTATAGCAGTCAAGAGTGACTGAATATTTTACATTCCATGCGTTTCTAAGTCCCTTTAATATCCTCATCGTCTATGAATGAATGTGTATTGCCCGGATTCAATGTCCTTTTCCTTTTTCTTCACTGAGTTCTTCGATTTCAACACAGACTTCTTGTATTTATGCATGGTCTTGGTTAAAGCGCGAGTTAAATTTAGCTTTGTTTGCTTTGTTGTTCTTTTTTGAAGATTTCCTAAAATCAACAGTAAATCTAAAACACCAAGTAGTGGCACGCAAACACTTTAACCAAGAATGATATTCAAACAGCAATCACTAAAACGTGCGGTTCTTAATCACGGTATTCCTTTGCTCTTCAATTTCTGTAATCTCTTAAGACGCATCTTTCATTCAATGCTTAGAGTAAAATTGGCTTTCTGTTTCCAGGTAACAGAAAGCAAATCACCATCTAATGGTTAACAGAAGAATTATCACTTCTTCTGCAGTGATTGCAAAATTTAGGATCTGATTTTGCTTGAATTTCAACTATTTCTGCTGTCAGCAAACATGTTCAGCTGTTTATCGAAGCCCGTAATCCAGTACAGAACAACTAACGAATCTGTCCAAAAGACAAACATACGAGTATATTCCTTAAATAATTCTCCAAAGTACTTTCCTATTCTAGTTAGTATGATAACTGCCATTAGTGTCAGTCACCGCAAAGTAAACTTCTTCTTCGGAGTTATTCTTCATTTTGACATAACAAATGACTACAAAAATTTCACTTTTATCATTTAAATTCCAACAGTTCGCATCCGTATCATGAGCCAGAACAGATATATTATATTATAAAATATACATACTTTTATTCGAATAAGCATAGTAATAAAGCACTGCTCATGGATATTATTAGGTATTCTTATCGGAATTTAGGTTTCTTTTAAATAAATAATATTATGAGATTTCCCAGCTGTTTAACCATGATTACCTTTCATTTATGTTCTTTCTGCAACCGCCTATTTCGAGAATTAAATTATAAACATAATTTTACCCTTTCGATTTGAGTACGATAAAATTAGTACAAAAATGGGCAAATAAAGAGTAAATACGGTATTTGAATATGGTCAAGCAGACGACTGCTATGTGCCTAAAGAAAGGGAAATGTTCGTGGAGAAATTCTTACAGAAAACTCACTCGTATTCACGTTATACATGGCGTTTAGTTTTACATAAACTCCCAAACTGAATTCTTAATAAACACACAAAAACCTTGATTACTTTTTTTCAGTTTTTTTTCCTTTCCACGACATACACAATAATTTCATTTTCTAAATCATTAACATCCTAAAGAGTTTTGGTTTTTATTTAATCTCTAACATTAAATTCATTATCTGTTTTTAAACTCGAATACTTAAAGTTTTTAAAGTATTTATGTGACTTGTTACGATCTTGCTGGAATCTTTAACAAAAAAATTTCAGTTTCGTTAATTAAATAAGTTTACCTAACTGCACTACGTTCCTTTTTCAAGTATCTTAATTAAAATTATTTCAAAACAATTCAGATATCAGAACATAATAAAATGAAAAACAAATCTTAACTTCACTTTCCGCCAAATCCAAGGAATCAGCAACTTCTTCAATACTTCTCCTAAAACTCATAAGTATTCTGCACTCAGTTTAGGTCTAGTATAGAGCCCTCTATGGGAGATTCATAGCAGAAATTAATTAAAATTAAAATTAAATTAAAATTCCATTAAAAATTTCAAATTGTTTCTTTAACTTGGATTACGGCGATGCACTCGCGAATTATTTGCCCAACAGAAGAAATAATTCATGGAGAACTTTTTAAGGGGATCTGACTCGTAATCACTTTGAGCATAAAAGAAACTCAAAAAAATGTCCGTGTAGCTTACTGTTTTCCAAGATTTTAGCCCAGGTGGATCTACCAGGTCTTTCACCGCTGAACCGATGATGGGAGTTTTACCTCTATTTTATGGCTCATAAAATTCTTTTTTAATCCTACATAACGGCGATAATACGGAATTCAGTACAATGGTAAAGGTTTTTCCTCTTTCTGTTGCACAGTCTTTTGAATTCTGTGCTGAAGAACCTTGTGGCTATCTATTTGTGTTTTGAAATAGATTATCTTGAACATTTCAGTTGTGACGAATGTATATTTTGAATACGAGATATAAGCAAAAGAAACCACCCTTCTTCAAATGAACTCTATGAATGAGACCTCATCATGAAATAGCTTATAGCAGGCTGGCTTATTGAAGCTATAGAAAAAATTATTGAAAAGAATTCACTCTGTACCTTCAAATACGCAGCCTGAGCATCCGATCATTGCTCTTTTAAGTGTCGTCTACCACTCAACAAAATATAATTTCTTAAAAGGATATTGCTGCTTGTTCTTCCTCATGAGCAATTTGCACTCTTGTGTATAAAACAAATCAGAAGCTGCAAGTAAGAGCCTGTCCTTTGTTTTATACATAAGAGGGCATTTCATCGCATAGATCCGCGTTCCATTGTGGATATTTCTTTGATCAGGTGTTTAAATTTTCTCGCATACACATAATTAGTGTAGAATAACTTAATACACATAATTAGTGTAGCATACATCTGAAATCTACACTAATTATCGCATACATATAATTAGTGTAGATTTCAGATTCTTATGTTGTTGAAAAATTTGAAAATATAAGTAAAGTATATTATATGAATCTATGAATCTTGTGCATTCTTCTCGCCAATAATAAATATATTTAAATTAAACTTCATTAATAAATATTTAAATATTACCCTTTTCTTCGTAGTTTCTCCATAGTTAATGTGTATTTGGAATATTACCGTTTTCTCCGTAGTTACTGCAAATAACATCAAAAGCAAACATGCGTTCCATCCCCACTACGTTTTTAAGCCACTGTAAAATCAAAAGATCTATAACTTCTCCATTATGTCTTTAATTTATGTTGTTAAAGAAAATTGTCTAAATATGCTGTTGTTACTGTAATAGACCGAAATCTGAAGAATGTCGACTTAATAGATATTTTGGATATGCATCAAGCGGCTATATGAATGTCGACATTACCGACAAAATAATAATATTGCTAAATATCCCTATTTCTCACTTACCTACCATCTACTTACCTCAGTGTCGACCTACGTGTACTGAAGGTGAATGTTGAATAAAAATATTTCTATTGCGTTTTTAAACCATATTTTATTATTAAAGCATATTATGATGTATATCATTGGAGAAAACTTGAGTAACAGCACATGTAAATAAACTGCTGAACTTAGAACGAATAGTACATTCTAAATGAGAAAAGAAAATAACATCAATAATAAACTTACTAAGCAATAGAAAACTTAGTATGTGATTGACATTATACAGTCTTATTTACTGCGACAACTTAAACCGTTATGACATATTGAATTGCACAACAATCCCGGGCTTTTACAACGTCTCTTTCTGTCTTTGCGGTTTCTGGTTTCAGCCTGTACCCTAGCATATGTATGCTGCTTGACATACACCGGTGATGGTGGGAATGTATATGAATATAACCAAATATTCAGTCTTTCAAAGACGTAGTTGGTCATTCACCGGAGAAGGTCGACATTCCCCAATTTCGGTACTTCACAGTAACATTGTTATAAATCAAAAACGTGATGGAGATCTTAGTTTCTCCATTAATTTAAAAAATTGACAATCAGCTTAAAAGTAGATATGAAAAGTTGAGCATCTGTTTAAAATTCGATTTGGTAAGCTGAGAATAAGCTCTTGAGAACTAGTTTTAAATTAGGTCAGAATTAAAGTGAAGTCCCAGAATACTAGCCGTAACTTCTAGTTGCCGAAACAACAGGCGTAGATATATTTGATGCTTCTAGCGACTCAACAGGTGATTTCTGATGGTGCAGCTTTACTAAAGAATTTGGTTTCTACAATTTGAAGTTACTCAGTTAGTCAGTCAGTTAACATCTTTTCAGAAATAGTTGCAATTAAAAGGTGGTTATGTTATTAAAAAAGTCCAATTCTATTACATTGTAGGTTGTCAGATCTGGAACATACACCGCTTATCGCTATTTGACCGCTCGTAGATTGTGGACTTCAGAATGGTGCGCACTATCTCTAAGTTGGCAAAGGCTCTTGAATATTCCCAGATAGCAGTAGAAAAGATACAAAAGAAATATGTAAGATCTGAAACAATATCTGTCGTAGGCAGAGAAAAGGTAGGTGCCACAGGGAATACAAAAGTCAAATCGCAGCACTTGAGAAGTTAAGTAAAAAAAACGAGAATATTCCATCATGTAGTACCTTAATTTACTGGCGTAGATGTTTGAACCATCAGTGTACAAGGTACAGTATACATTATTTTAGTAAGGTTTTTCAATTATCTGCAAACATGGGTATATCATCTGATCCTACAACTTCGTATAACTACTACATTTTTGGCAACGGTAGTTTAACATTGAACCCTGGATGACTGGTACTTGTATTCCAGTCAGATAAATTTCACTTTCAATGTTTCTATCTCATGGATTATATTAGATAACTTTTATCATAAATTTTTCGAGTTTATTGGTTACTCCTTACTAAATTCTAACCCTTCAATGAAGCATTTTGAAAGAATATGAGTAATCTATTATCTTATGTTTAACAATGGCTTGTCTTGCTGTACGTAACCAGTTGGATTAACTAACTTTTCCAATCTGACTGGAGAAACTCATTCAAAAAATTCCGTTAAAATATTTCATTCTTTATTTTTCCTCAATTACTTAAATAATTATTATTACAGAAATATGTTGCACAAAAGAAAATTCAATTAATATGAAACAATTTATTCTAAGCTCCACTAATAATCAGATTCTCGGGCTACAATCCTCTGCTCCACACAAATACGCAAAGGTGTTGAGTTCATCAATACTACTGCGAACATTTCTTGTGATCGATTTCTTGGATCCAAAGAAGTGAATTTAAACTTCTGTAATAGTTTACTTAAAATTACTTTTACTTCCATTAAAGCGAACTGGTAACCTGAAAGAAATAAAGAGAAAATGTTATACATTAACATAGTAAAATCACACAGGGATTTAAAGAATATAATGTACTTTAATCAAGAAAGATAAAAGAAAAACGTTAAGAAAGTGTTGAAAAGTTTTGGTATTCATTCAAAGAAGGAGACGCACACATTTACCCTCCTTAGGTATATACACATACATATATATAAATATATATATATATATAAGTCACTTTTTACGTCATTTCTGTCCTGCTGGAGAAATAGTACATCCCCAGAATATCGCCATCAAGTATTTGTGTATATGTTTCCAGAGAAAGAAGAATCTTCGTCATTTGCAGCTGACTGTGTTCCCTAGGGTCTCGAGAAAGCCCGCTTAAGCTAACGTTGTTCTTTAAACACATTTCATCCTAAATTCTTCAGGTTATTCACTGTGATAACATAGCTAAAATGGTCTTGTTAAGGTCATGCTAATTACGCGCATTAGTAATTGGATGTATGCATCTAATGTGTGGTCAAGTAAATCAGAATAGACACGAAGCAGCGTGAGTTTAGCGTTAGCGATCTCCGATGCGTCGGACTCCATGTCATTTTATATTCATTAGTACTGGTATAAACCAGCACATTTGCTGTCTCAAAGAGGAACAGGAGACGTAAGCAAAGCGTGTGGATAACGGAAAGAAAAGAGCGCATCTTGTAGAGATTTCTAGCAGCTCCTTACGCATAAAGTGATGTTATCCACCATTTGTGTGTGGTATTGGGGAATGTTGTACATCAAGTATCCACGCACCCCTTCGAATATAGAATGTTTATTCTTTAAAAATGCAGTTAGAGTTTGTGAGTTCCATGTTCTAAATGACAACTAATAATGCACAGTTTTCTGCCTTACTGTTATTCAGTGATGAGATGTCATGCACGGAAGCACTTGTTCCCTGCATGACATCTCATCATTGAATTTGTTCTCATCACTGAACTCGATTGTTTTTAACACTCGAGTTTAATGCGATACTAAATTCCATTATAAGTATTCATGTGTAATACCATTCCTTTTATTTTGTTGCAACAGCTTATGAACACCCTACACAATTTAAAAATCGTTCAAAGTAGATGTTGAAGAGCAAAACAGTACACTTCTGACCATTAAAATTCCTACAGGTGCAGGTCTCTCACCTCACTTCTCCACCCACAACCTCTCGAGAGAACTCCAACCAGCCAAAATAGTATTGTGTTTCCATCTTAGCCAGAAGTGTGTCGAAACCTATCGAAGACAACTGTGCCGAAGTATAAGACTTCGGATACTTGAAATAAACTAAAGATCTTAAATTGCATCTAGAAAATGTAAACGAAAAGAAAACCAACCTTCGACTGTACTATGTGGGTACATATTGGGAAAGTGACCTTACTGATAGGAAATTTAACTCCGGATATTTTTTTGGATATTAAGCCAGTATTTTTACTTGGAATTGCAGAAACCAACCGTGTGTGGCTTTTCATCGACTAAAGCGCAATATATAGCTCTTATTAAAACAGCGAAGGTGGCAGTTTGGCTTAAAAGATTTTTGCAACCTTTATATGAAGATGAAATTATTTGCAATTTTTATGAGACTAATTAAAGCTGCATCAAAATTTCAAACAGGGAAAGGGGCAGTAGGAGACCTAAACATATAGCCATTAATATAATTTTGTGAAAGATCTAATTAAAGGTAAAAATTATGATCTTCGATGTGAAAAAAATGACTATAGACATTTTAACCCTCCTAGAGAAGCTCTTCCTTACTCATATGGGTAACGATCAAGTATTACTCACATTAAAAGATTAATTGGATGTTTTTGTTTGATTTATTGAATAGTTTTTTGTGCTTCAAATTACTGGACTTTATAAATAAAACTGTAATATATAATAAAAAATTAAAAAGTAATTGCAATTATAAAATTTTCAGATTTCGGTCTAAACAACTCGAAAAGTATACCAATTAAATTTGAAAAATTTAAGTTTATTGAAAATTTTAAAAAGTATAGAATAAAAACTTTTTCAAATAGTAACTATACATTTTTAAAAAGAAACTATCACTTTTTATTTGAATTCTTCATATACTTGATTTTAATGCTTGAAACACTTATTTTAATTTACGCAGTTAGGATTAGCCTTAGACTATAAGAATCAAATGCTATAGAATTTAAAGGTATAGAATGTAAAATGACAAATTTAGAATGATAGAAGTGGCAAATGATATGAAATAAATTTTCTTATGCGATCATTAAAGTAACACTACCTGGAGTAACCGATCAGTACTGAAAAACCAATTCAGCAGAAAAGTAATTCAGTGTGCAAATATCAGCACTATGGTACGTCAGGGCATGCAAAATGCGAGGAGTTGGCGCTGGTAGTGCAATGCAGCTAAAAAAAAAAAAAAGAAAAAGAAAAAGAAAAAGCACATTTCCAGACATTCTTCTGATAGTTAAAGTGAAATTGTAATTTGCAGTAGGCAGAATGACTATAAGAAAACATCAAGACACCTATTGGCAAGTCTGAGGAGGGGCGTAGTTTTGAGGAAGTCCGCAGTCGCCATGAGTTTGGAACTGATAAAAGTTCTCTTTCACGAGGTTGGAAATTCTTGAAAACGACAGGTACAGCTATAAAAAAAGGTTAATGGTGGTTGGCCCGGAAAACAACAGGGACTGATGACCGATATATCGCCCTGTAGGCAAAACGAGATCGAAACCAGACGACAGCAGGTAACATTACTCAGCGACTGCACACGGGAACCGGACGACAGATGCCCGGTTTCTTCTGTGCAAACGACTTTATAAAGGTGGCCTGTTTGCATGTGGTCCTGAACTCTGGTAGCTCATCGCTGCCACCATTTACAGTGATGTTGAGAACACAAAGGCGTTTCATCAATGGAGGCACGTGCTTTTCACCGATAAGAGTCGTTTCTCTCTGATAAACGATTGTTGCTGCTATTTTATATGAAGAGATAGATAGAGATATGCTTCCATCTCAGTAACAACAGGGAAAGAAGCCACCAAGATCATGCTGGTGTGCCTGTTTGTGAAGGCATCGTGATGAACTGACGGTCGGAGCTCCACATTTTCGATAGAGGTTCACTTACAGGGTATCATTACTATAATGAAATGTTATCCTTTCCCACGTGCATCTTTTCCGGGGGGCCATTGATTCCAGCTTTGTTTCTATGGATGACAATGTGCGGCCACAGAAGACTCATGCAGTTGAGGAGCTCTCCGGAAGTGAAACCATCCACAGAATTGATTCACTTTTTTGTTCTCCTGATTTATATTCCACTGAACAAGTGTGGGATGTTTAGGAAGACACCTGGAGGCACGATCATACCCTCAGAAGAACAGCAGACAACTAAAACATATATTTCTTGAAGAAAAGGGAACTTTTGCTCCAAAAACTCTTTTATAAGCTGGTGTTACGTATCGGCAGACGGCGCAATGCAACCATTACAGTTACGGGAAGTCGCATACCTTACTAAGGCTCTTTGGTTTGCTTGGGCCTCTCTAGTATGAATATCATTGCTCCCAGTTGATATTTTGAGAAATTTCAGCCAAAATTAGAAACGTTGCTTAACTTTTGCAAACAAGTATATTTGACTGCTAATTGCCCAAAATAATTTACATTAAGAAACACAGAATAGTTTGCTTACCTATGCATGTTCTTTGACCCACAGAAAAAGGTATGTAGGAATGTGGATGCCTCGCTTTGCAATTCTCAGGTGAAAATCTCTCAGGGTCGAACTCCTCAGGATTTGGAAAATATTTTTCATCTCTGTGTAGCTTGTAGAGGCAAAGAAGGCATAAAGTGTCTTTTGGAACGACATAATTCCCTGAATAATGAGAAAATGAAATCGTTCGAATAATTAACTACCTAATTTAATACATAAACAAACGCCTAAATCCTTTTAGCTTTCAAAATGTGCCGAAATCTTAACTTTTGGCCTTTATTTTAACTTCTACTCCTGAGCTTATAGTAGCTGACAAATACTTAGAATTATCAGTACAGCTGACTTAAATTAGTACATAATCTAGAAATTGCTGCCAACAGGCATAGCGTATTATAAAAAAATATAAAGTAAATTAACATTTTCCATCATGAAAAACAATTAGAGATTTTTTTCAAAAGGGAAACAATTGCTGGCTATAAATGCTCAGAAAACAGGTTTCAGTATGTAAAGTGTTTTCTTTCGCATTAAAATAGTTTCGATACAAAACAAAGTTCCGCACGAACCAAGATAAAGCAGATCCCAATAAAAGCATCGATTCAACATGCCCAGTAAAATATTTTAATTTTGGAATGTGAAAGAAACTTTTAGATTCTGATAAGGGTAAATGTTCAAAAATGATGTTTCGCATATGTCTTCCACAACTTATTTTACAGCACAAGTCTCTTTCGATATAATTCGCAATCACTTACTCGCATATCTGCCTATCAAGTTGATTAATAACACGTTCCTATTTAAATTCTTTTATTTTACTCTTTCACTCTGGAGTTCTTAGGCTTTCCAGTACCACTATCTTGCATAATAGTGATGCTTTCAACTAACTGGCTGAATAACATGATGATTTAGTGTCTGCTTTTGAACCTGTGTCATCAACTTTCTTCATCAATCTGCGATTCTGCGTTCCATTAGGTGCGTTTTCACGTCACGTGATTGCACGAGATTTCTTAAAGGTCTGCGTATAACATTCACTACTCTCGCAATGAATCTTCACAATCAAAACTTCCTATTCCTTTATGTAGTTCCTAGTTGACTAAGCTGCTACGAAGCTCCGAAATGAAGTGCCAGTGATAAAATGACAGTCATGTCAGGTCAAATCAGTTCAGTATTCTTCAATAGGAACATTTCCCTGTTGTAAACATGTAAAAATGCATTCATTTTCTAAAAATAATGTATTTTGTAAAGTTTAACTCTCTTGGCTAACATCCAGTTAAACTCTTTGTTGACCTTAAGTGACTTGTCGCTATGTACCGTAGGAACTTGAGAGTAAACGACCCTTTATTTAAAACTAATTAAGTTGAACAGAAGGCAGCCTTGGTGCTCAACTCCGTCAGTATTTATGGCGAGAGCTAAAATCAATAAGTCAAATGTAAAGCTAAATTTAAATAAAATAGTAACCAAAGACTACAAAGAGCAATTTAAAGCGAAGTTGGCTCAGAGCGTCACCGGCGTGAAGTTCAACTAGTAACTATCAGCAATTATAACGCAAATCCGAAAACAGAAACTCTTTATCTAAAATAGCAACGTGGCCACGAGTGACAGATTACACTTTGTCTTAACAATCTCAAAACCCTCACTTAAACACACGCGAACTAAATTTGCATTCTATTAGAAAAACGGAAAGAGAAGTGACAGTACATACCCAAAACATAAAATAACTTGTTTTTCAAATTAAAGGATCCTCAGAATTTTTATGGGCATATTAAATCCGGCACTTTCATTTGGTAAAACTCATTGGTATGAAGAACTTACGGGAAAAGATGCGTCTGTTCTTTGGACAGTTGTTTTAACTGAAAGTAAGTAAAATTAGTGAAAGAAGAGGAATGGAAATCATACTGTTAGAGTCTGTACTGCTTTAAAACTGCTTTCATTAAGAAAGATGATAAAATCTCCATAAAACTTTTAAGTTGGTGAATGAGATTTCTTGAAAGCTTTTACAATAACTAAAATCCATCAAATTTGTTTGCGAATTGAAATTATATTTCTGTTCTTCCACAAACATATATTCATTCTGTGTTTTTGCCTTAATATCAGTCATCATGATCGTATGTCTTAAATTTGCATTTCATCTTTTAAAACCTTGAAGAAATAAACAAAGTTCTTTCCAAGAATAATTTTTTATAATAGTTTCTTAAGTTTTTATAAATATGAAACAATTTTACAAAAGCAAAATTAAAAGTAAAGATAAGCATAGTTATTTAATTAATGGGAAACATAGTAATGCAAAATAAGTTACAATATATAGCATTTTATAAGTAGTACTGTCATACAATGAACTTATTAGTTTCGACAGAGGAAAAAAATTTAATAAGGTCCGCTATCTAATGAAAAAATAATAAATCAAAAGCTATAGAGCTATTACTATTTGACAGCCAAACGTATTCTAATTTTTTTTTAAATTTTATTTGCTTTTTCCTATGATCATACACGTTTTGGAAAATACATTCCCGAACTTCAAATAATTATTATCAAGCAGAAACTCAAACTGTAAATGTGTTTACAGTAAGCTTAAATTGATTTTTAAACTAATTTAAACACAACGTTTTTCCACATTTAATCCCTGCCTTAACAATGCCTGCAAGATCTATCTCTGCAAAATTTACGTTAAAATTTTTATCATTACTTTTTTGCGTTTTCTTTACTGTAGAAATGCTGTTGATCATAACTTAATTTGTTTAATCTATCACGTCTGGAAATCAGTGAGACACATCACTAAAATAAGTATGTAGCTATAAATTACTTACCAATTTTTTTATTTTCTTTATAGTTTATTGCAATTAATGGAGCTGCAGGATAAATTCTCATTACTTCCTGAAATAGAATATGTCATTTCATTATGTTTGTAATGTATAATTAATAAAATCAATATTTTAAAGGGAAAGAATTACTGTCAGGAGGATCTTTAGTGCATTTATTAATGTAGCTGGATCATATATATTAAAAGAGAAGAAAGAAAAATTTTTATTTTAACTTGGTTTAATTAAATTCCTCAAAATACGTCTAACTTGAGAGTTTCACCTTACTCTGTGCTGACCCTACGTGTATACGAACCAGTTTCCATTAGAAAGTCCTCCACGAAGGCGTCCCTCCCCTTAGGCAGATAGCACTAGTGTGCTTTGCCATAATTAATAAACCAAACTAAACCTGTGCTGACTTTCAATAGTCGCCGATAGACACTAATAATGCCAAATAACATGACACTTGACAAAATGTGTTCAGAAAAGATACAGGATTATTTTGCGAGATGGGAACGACAGATACTTAGACTTAATACGTTTGATTTGGACTTGAAGTCTGGAGAAGGGGCAAGGTATAGTTTAATTTATATGATTACTATTAGGCGGGATTATTATTAATCATGGCAAAACACAAGAGGGCTATTTGCCTAACAGAAAAGATGTTATTTGTACCACTATCAGTACAAATTTCATTCATTTCCTACAATTACTTCATGGTGTTACATTTTTCATAAGCATTAATGTGTATATATACATGCGTTTCGAGCAACCGATTGCAATAAAAATGGGAGGTGCAGAATTGGATAATTTAGCAGTAACATGTACAAATTTTCGCTTCCACGGCTAATCGTTTTTGAGTTACGCGAGATACATACATACGTATGTACGTACAGATGTGACAAACACAAATCTCTTCTGAATCCATTTTTCAATCCGTTTTGAAGGGAAAAGTCCTTTATTGTGTCCGTATGTACAGATACCACGCAAAAGCATCGTTCAAATGGATTCGAGAGCGGTCGAAATCAATATTTTCTTTGAAACAGGATACCCGAAATTTTTCGATATTATAATACTTCCTTTACGTCGTACAAGGAAGTAAAAAGGAGCAATAAACTGATATAATTACAGTTTGCTTTCAGTCGTATGCAACTGCATAACATATTCGTAATAGAAAGTCGTCATGTGAACCAGTTAATTCATACTTGTAGGGTTTACTTTACTTAAAATTAACATATATTCAAATTTTTGTTATCTTTCCTGAACTCCTCAACTTCCCCTCGCCTTTCCTTACGAGAATTTAAATTTAGAGTTGAGTGAAGTAAGTATTTTAACTGGAGCTTTTTCAGAGCGTGTTTCCGCTAGCCAGTGCACATTTCGTTGCTGATCTTGTTGTTACGCTAATATGCCCCTTGGCCATTTCGGATTATTATCACGTTTGTTAGGTTGGTTGGAGTCAACCTAAGGTAGCCGTAACTTAACATGCTAATCCAGCTCTATTCTATTTAGACTTAAATTGATTTATATTATAACGTTTAAGTTCCACCGCAAGTTCTCAGTGTTATTGTAAAGCATGAAAATCGTGGTTTCTACTCTTAGATGGAATTAATAAAGGGGTTATTTTCAACCTTCTTCTGTGCCGCACGCCTGTGCGAAAATTTGCCATGTTCATTTGTAGGATCTAGATTAGTTTATGTGGCCTAAAAAGGCTAGATCTTATATACTTACGCAATTTTATGTTTTTGGTTATTAAAACCAAAAACATAAAATTGCGTAAGTATATAAGATTTAAATAAACATATGTTTCAAATTATACAAATTATTGTTTTTGGTTTAATATTAGTAAAATAAAAATCGAAAAGCAATAGCCAAATTAAATGCATGATTAAGCAGATTTTAGGATTACATCGTAGCAAAGCCCAGGGGCTCTCTTTTCAAGGAAAAGAATACTTTCACAGAGAATGTAAGGGAAATTTGCTCATATTCCTTTACAGGTGAAGACGGTGTGTGATGTATTTGATTATGGCAAAGCTTAAGTCTGCCCAAGATGAGGGATGCCTTCGTAGAGGATTTTTTAAGAGAAGCTGACTCGCATACACCTTACACATCGGTAAAACCATGAAAATGCCTATGGAACCAGCGGGATTCGTACCTCTTACCTAACTACCAGTAATCAACAACTTTACCGCTCAGCCCAGCTGGTAGGCTTTACAGGTGAAGAAAACTACGAAACACGCCCAAGCATGACATCTGAACCTAGGCGGAATTCACAATGTTAGCGATCTTACTGGTAGGTCGCTGGTGGACGTATTTGATTGCGAAAAGTGATTAAGGAAATTAAGCGACTGCTATATAGCGGCAGTAATGAAACTCAGTGTTTGGGATACTGTACACTTTATACTGCTTAAATATCATATTTTAGAACTGTGTTTACCAATGCGTTGCTAGACTGAAAGTTAACGATCTTAATTTCTTTTTTGAAAAGGTATTTACGACTTTTGTCGCTAATTTGCATCCCCCCCCCTCGCGTTTGTTAACCTGAAGCAAGTGCCTAGTGTGATATCAAAGATAAAGATACTATTTTTCTACTTAAAAAAGCGTTTTCGCACTTCAGTCAACTTCGCTATGTTTTGCAAATTATCATATCAAGTAAATAAGCAATAATAAAAAAAAAACCACTAAATTTCTACGCTTAAATTAATGATAACAAGCAGAAAATGTGTCAAAATAACTACTAAATATACAAATTCTAAAATTTTTAAAAAAAGTAAATGTGCTGGCAATCAGATATACTATTTGACTGCTCTTCAAAATTAATTTATCTGTGCTTATAATTATATCAGAAGATTAAAACCTAAGGGAATCTAGGTTGGCACCCGCAAATATTATTCACCAACTAAACAATAAAAACGTATCTCTCAGCACTTTTCAAATCCCTCCGATTTTATTAAACCTACAGATTACCCAAAATCTAGCAAAAGGAAGGAGCAACAGATAAAGCACTAAGTCAGATTCTCTCAGTCAGCCATATTTCCTCTTCGGCTCTTTCCTCTTAATTTAATAATTAACCTGCTTGTAAATTAAGATAAAAGAATTATTTATATGAAAGAAGATATATGGGATCATATGTTTTCTTTCACGCTATTCTGTATGAAAAATAAAAAGTAATAACTTACAAGAAGTTTTTCAACGAATCGTTTTTCCTGTATCGTAAACTCTTTAACCAATAACTGACAAAAGTCAGTAGTATAGTCTACATTAAATATTTATTATTATTATCATTAATTAATAATGATACATGACAATATGAAAAAATAAGTTGCATGAAACATACTTTGAGAACTTTGTCTAAGTATTTCATGTTTTTCAGGTCATCGCATGTAACATCTCTGTGAATGTCATCTCCAAATATGTCATTCAACTCTTGAACAACTTTTTCTTGAACTTCAGGATATAAACCTAACAAATAAGTCGACCAATTCAGCGTGACAGCGGTAGTTGCGTGTCCCTATAAAGCAGAAAAACAGTTAGGTTTTTCTGCTAAATTTCAAATGTAATATATTATAATACTAATTCGAAAGGAAACCGTTTATAATAAAAGGCCACTTAATCGAAATCTTAACCGAAATGGTAGAAAAAATAACACTGAATTAGTGAGTCTGAAAGCTTTATTCACATATTGTACTACTTTTACTTTAAATCAGTTTTTTTTTTCCTATATCTTAGTTATTTAGAGGTAAATAGCATTTTATAATCTAAATAAACATTCTTAATTAAAAAACAGTAAACTTTCAAATAATCTGTTTTCATTGATGGATCATGAATAGAATTTTCTTCGCAGTAAAAGAGCTCTCTAAATGAGGATAAATCACCAAACAATGAAAACAATATTTCTTTTATAAATTATGCGGAATTTTGTAGCGCATCCAAAGTAAATTCATGCCATTCTGCGAAGAAATCTGTCAATGGACTCAATGATATTTACAACATTTGGAAACTAGATTTGTATAATTTGAAACATATGTTTATTTAAAACTAGCTGTTATGCAACCAGCCTTCGTCTGGCTTTTAAATGTGCCGGATAAATTCCTAAAGGGAACATCAAACATTAAATTTAAAAACTGCGTATGCAGAACAACTTTATCAAAAAAACAAAACCCACAAATTTCAATAAAAATGTATTATATATAAACAAAACTGCAATGAAATAAGCAATATCCCTTAATACAAATACTAATTATCCTAATAAATAAATTATTCAACTTCCCGTTGCAAAATCTTAAGAATTTAAATGGTGTAAAGGAAGTCAAAAACTTTGTTCCCTAAAAAAAATCATCCAAAACTTTTCAATATTTTAAAAACTGTGGAATAAGCAATAACATGAGCTGTGAATACTGGTGAGAACCGACGAAACTAGAAATGAAAATAAAGGCAAAATAATTAGGTAACCTGTTAATAAATACAAAACCTCCCTACAAGCCATAACATTTAGCTTGATAAATTGAGCCAATCGCCTCGCTTGACTCTCCTTTACTGCTTTACTCGCTATTAAGTCCTGCTGAGCAGTAGGCATAAGAAAATCTTCCCTTTCAAGTATTCCCAAGGAATAATTGAAAGCATCCCCAAGGAATCTTGTAATTTATTCCCAAGGAATAAATTACATAACATAAACACATAACATTTTGTTAAGACACAGAAAATATTTATCTTCAGAGAATTACGTATCTGTTTTCTTATGTAACTAGCGAGTTTTCCATAAACTAAATATTGAATTGTACTTGTTCGGTTTGCCACATGAAACGTGTGCGTACATGAAATGAAAGAAACTTGTGCGTACATGAAATGAAATAAAAGAAACGAGCACAGTGCTGTTTTCAAATGTAAACCCATTCATTTTGCGAAGGAAAATGAAAATTGTGCTACAGCAAGGATATTTGGTGTTGGTAAAGGATGGAATGGATTATTTGTGGATCAAAATAGGAAGGACACAAACAGGATGAGAAAATATATTTATTATGCTCAGTGCATCAGAAAAAAAGAGAGAGAAAAGAACAAAAACAGACAACGATCGTCATCAAAGGTGTTCAAAATTACGATCCCGTACCGTGATGCAGGCTTTACATCATCAGCGTATGGAAGATCTGATGTTGTGGAAAATGTCGGGAATGTCCCTGACTTCCCCAGTAGCTGCCACGATTCGTGCAACAAGTTCCTGAGCACTGTTAACGGGGTTTCGTACATCAGTGTCTTGACGTACACCAGAGGAAGCAGCGAATGCAAGTGAGGTCTGGCTATCTTGCCAGCCAATGCATGGGACCAACCCTGCCAGTCCAATGTTAAAATATTGAGGATAAGTTATTCAGATAGAGCTTTACATCAAGGCTGTAATGTAAGGGTCATCAGGCTGAAACCATATGGTAGAACGCATAGCAGCGGGTATGTGTACGTCGTCAAACAACTGCGACAAAACTTACTGAAAAAATATGGGATAGTTTTACACCTGTCAGACGCTTAGGGCGACAAATAAATATCCCAACATTTTAGCTAAGCATTATAAACAACTTCTCTCTACGTGGACTTCCTTTCTTGTGTCTTGTGTCGTCATTATGGTACTAGGAAAGTGTTTCCGATCATGCATTGCTATAGGATTTTCCATCGTAGCTGCACTCTTTCTTCTCTGAATGTTTGCAACAGCTGTGCTAAAACATCCTGTATATATCTAAAATTTGGGGTATTTGCTTTAAGCGATAATAACGCCAAATGTGACTTATACACTTTGTTAAAATTATTTCGTAGAATGCATGATGCACCGTTTCTTGCTCGCGAATAACGAAAAGGGAAGGAAAATTAGTTATCATAAATTAAGAATTACCCTTAGCGAATTATTCTTGACGCAAACTGAAACAAATTTAGATTACTTGGTAAGTTACTCACCAAATTTTACAAAATCTTATATTTAGGCATAATTTGAGTCGTAGAATCGAAATATGCAGAAAAATGCATGTCATTTCGGTAAATCTTCTCCTAAAAAGTCCGATTTTGCGTCAGAATACCTATGTTAGAACAGGGCTATATATAAATCTAATATATATCTTAAGACGTGCTTTCGAGACATGGAAAACGCAAATTCAATTCGTCAGTCGGCCCCATAAAAAGGGAATGAAAGAGCTGTCCCATTTTTCTTCATTTAATTTTACTTGTTTTTTTCGCGCAGTGTACCCAAGTCACTTAATAATTAAATGCGAAATGTTTAATTATTAAATGAATACATTTACAATACGTTGAATAGGTTAAAATACATTTCATAGACTAAAAGCAATTTCTCTAAAACTCTTCTTAAATTTTAATAGTACGAATGCGTTATGGTTATTACTGGTTTTCTTCAGTTTTAAGTATAGATTAATCGAAATCCTACTTACTGCAACGATAAAAGTGTTGATCTCATCTTGTGCATCTTGTAGTGTGAATGTCGGGTCATTTAGACAACATTCCAGAACATATTCTACGAAGGTATCTCCTTTCCTTCTGGGACTGCTGTTTTCATTTGCTTCTTCTAATTTAGAATTATTTCTCCTCTCTGCCAACATAGATTCCAGCTTTTGGTGAAGCACCTGTAAATTTGTGTTAAAATTCTTATCAGGATCGGTATGTTTATTTTCTCATAAGCGAGTGTCAGACTTTTGTTTTAAGTGATTCGTGTAACACTTTTGTAGTTATACATTAGAAAAAGAGCATGATAACAATTGTTTATTAAATCATTTTAAGCTTTATAATAAATATTGAAAATTCTCTCCTTCCTCGTGAAAACACACTTGAAAGGATTCCATATTTCTTCGCGCTTTCACTAGTGCAATTTGTCCTATGAATACTACATTGGTAATATGTAACATTACATTAAGTCCTCTAGAGCAGGGTTTCTTAAGCTGTGGGTCGCGACCCCCAAGGGGGTCGCCAAAAATTTTAGCAGTTTTGATTCCTTTAACTTATTACAATAATTTTACAATTACCAAATAATTTTACACAATGTATCTGAAAATAAATAAAGATAAGAAAATCCAGACAAAGAAAATAACAAAAACGTTTCGATGCATTCTTTTTATAATATAAACGTTCATTTTCCTTGCTTTGCACGTGACGCTGTCATTTCGTCTGTTAGTTATTTAAAATTTTCACATTGCTCTATGTTTTAAAATTCGAAATTAATGTTAATGACCTAAACCTGCAATAGTATATTACAGTACGAGTGAAAAAATTGACAGTTTCACTCACGCATGCGTCGGATTTGCGCAATACTTATGGGGTCCCACAAAATTTCTGTAAACATTATGGCGTCCTGGGGGTTGAGAAAAATTCTCAGTGATAAAAAGGCGTCACGACTGAAAAAGGTTTAAGAAACGCTGCTCTAGAGCGTAAAGCTTGAGCTTTGAAAAACTTTGTAGAGTTTATTTAATTTCTTTAACAACTAATTTTATGTTTTGAACTTTTTTGCTGTGAACATGTCTGCATACATCATTTTATTGCTGCAGAGTTGTAATTTAACAATTCCTTGATTTTGTAGATCACATACGTAGTGATATTTCACATCGATGTGTTTGGTGTAACTGCTTCCTTTTTATTTTCTGGAAAGATTTATGCATGATATATTGTCCTCGAATACGATGTTAGCTTGTTACCTGTTGAGCGAAACCTAAATCTTCCATCCAGTTGTCTAATTCATTATAGCTCCTGTAAGGTTAAGGCTAGAGCGACGTATTCGGCTTCTGTCGAAGGTAGGGCGACACAATTTTGTTTCTTGCTTCCCCATGATACCGTACTGTTTCCTATTTGAAATATATATCCGGATGTGGATTTTCTGTCAGAGGTATCTCGTGCCCAATCAGCGTCACTGTAAGCTTTGATGACTGGTGCACCATTGGATTTTAGATGTAATTTGTAATTAATTGTAGCTCTCAAATATCGTATAATTTTAATGATACCGTTCCAGTCCGATGTTGATGGATTTTCTACTTATTCGATACTACGATGTTGATGGATATTCTAAGTATTCCAACAGAATTTGCTATGTCAGATCTTGATACTGTTGCTAAATATAAAAGTGCTCCCACTGCTTCCCTATATTTCCGATTATCGTGAAAAACGTCATCCTGGTTGTTTTGGTTCTTCGTAAAATTCGTAGTCATGGATGTATAGCTTAGTTTCTTTGGTGACTCTCCTTCAAATTTTTCGATCATATTCCTAATCTCATTGGCTTGATGAAGTTTAAAGCTTCAGTCTTTTTCTTTCAATTTCGATTCCTAGATATGTAGATACTTCTTCAAGATTTCGAATGTCGAAATATTCTTTGAAAATTCGTTCAACTTCTTTAATTGATTCACGCTTGTCGCTCGCGACTAATAAGTCATCAACGTATACGATTATGTAAGTTCTTGCATTCTTCTTGATTAGTGTAAAAGAACATGGATCAGCCTTTCCTTGAACGTATCCTTGTTTGCGTAGGATTTCAGCTACATTCTGATTCCAGTTTCTGGCTGCCTGTTTTAGTCCGTAGATACTTTTCAGTTTACAGACTTTATTTGCTTCTGAAGCAGATATGTAACCTTCTGGTAGCTTCATATATACTATATCTTCTTTCAGATCTCCATATAGAAAAGCTGTTTTTACATCGAAGTGATTTACGTGCATCTTCTTTTGAGCTGCCCCCTATTGCCAAGATAGTCCTTATTGTGGTATACTTTACGACTGGTGCGAATGTTTCGTCGTAGTCGTGCCCAAATTCTTGGCAATATCCTTTAGCTACTAAATGAGCTTTATATCTGATAATATTTCCTGAAGCGTCGGATTGTGATTGTGTTTTAAATGTCCATTTGTTTCCAATTGCTTTCATTCCTTTTGGAATATCGACTTGTTCCCATGTTTTGTTTCTCTTCAGTTCTTCCATTTCTTCTTTCGTCTATTTTAACCACAGTTCCTTTTCTTTGGTAGGAAAAGTTTGCAGTTCTTGCCAGTCTTTAGGAACTTTGATTTCTTCATTCTTAGCCATGTATGAGAATCTGTTGGTGGGATCCTTAGTCTTCTCTGGATCTTCTCGGTAATAGGAGAATTTCTTCTGTTTCAGTTCCTTCCTCTGTTATAGCATTTGGACATGGTTCCCTTGATTTATTTTCTTTAAAAGGACATTCTGTTTCCTCATGCTGATCATTTGATTGACGAGGCACTTCTTCTTTTTTGTTTTCATCGAATATTATGCTTCTTCTGATCATGACTTTGTTTGCATGTGGCATGTAAATTCTATATCCTTTAGTACGGTCACTGTATCCAACAAGAATTCCCTTTTCTGCTCTTTCACCTAGTTTTCTCCTTTTCTGCTTTGGAACTAGACAATAAGCTGTGCTGCTGAAAAATTTAATATGGCTCAAGTTAGGCTTGTTATTATTCCAGAGCTCATATGGTGTTTTTTCCACTGACCTTGATGGTAGCCTGTTTTGTAGATAGGTGGCTGTCATTCTGTCTTCACCCCTTAAACTTAAAATTCTCTTTTGAGTCCTGAATCGAGTAGCAGGCATCTTGTCATTTCCATTGAGTATCGATTTTTTCTTTCTGCTCTACCGTTCTGCTGCGGTGAATATGCTACGGAGGTTCGATGTTCGATTCCCTCTTCCTTTAGATAGTCTTCAATCTCTTTGCTTGTATATTCTCCTTCATTGTCTGTTCTTAAGACTTTTGGCTTCTTTCCTCCTTCTAGGTCAAGAACGTACAGAACATCTACGAGTCTCACTTCTGTTTCGTTATCTTCGTCATCTGTACAGTATAAGTATCCTTCTCCGATACCTTCGGACTTCATCTGAGTACCATTAGCAATTTTTATTTGCTCAGTTTTGCTTCTATCTAATTTAGTGAAAAAGTTTGTTATCGGTCATATGACAAGTAGCACCTGAGTCAACTGAGCAGTTTGAGTTTTGAAATTTTCTTTCTCTGATGACTTCGAACGTGTAATTCTCAGTCTTCTCAAGATTCTTATTTTTATTTTCATCTTCATGTTTATCCTCGTTTACTGCAACTTTCGTTTTCTGTTTATTTCCATAATTTCCTTTATTCGTTTGCTTTTCATTCTCGAAAAATTAGTTACTTTCGTTTTTGTCTTTTTCTTTGTAGTTATTTAAGAATATGCATTCTTTTTCTAAGTGTCTTATTTTTTTGCAATAATTGCATCTTCGTTGATTGAAATGCTTGAATTTTGTGTTAAAATTCGTTTTGAAGGCAGTTGTTTCTTCTGTTCGCGTGCCTTTTTTTCTTCTCAGGCATTCGTCGATGAGTTTCGTTTTTACGTATTCCAACGTTAGTTCTTCTTCTGGGCATGCTTCTAAAGCTGTAATAAGATTTTCGTAGCTTTTTGTAAGCCGCTTAGTAAAAGCGCTTCAAATTTGACTGTCCTTTATTTCTTCACCGACTCCTCCCAGTTCGTCTACGATTTCGAACATTTTGTTGACATGCTCTTCGAGTTTGTATTTGTTTTCTGCTTGTGTACGATTTGGTTGTCTTCTACGAGTAAACTGATGGTAGCTTGGGCTTGTTCATCTCGTTTTGTCCATTCGGCGTTTATTTCTTTTGGTGTATCATCAGCGATTAAATCCCATAAATTTTCCTTTTTCAGGATGATTTCAAATTTGTATTTCCATATTTGATAGTTGTTATTGTTTAGTTTCATGATCGAATATTTATTTTCGCAGCTATTTCTGCTTCTGTATTTCGAATGCGCAGTACACAACTATGCAGTTTTGTTTCGCTTTTGAAGACAGGCTTGGCTTTTCCGTTTTCGGATTATCCAGCGGTAATTTATGGCAGAGTATCTTTTTGCATTTTTTATCCTTGATAGCTTATCTCGATATATTTCATGCGTTTAGTTGAAGTAAACATACGCACGGTCTCGTAATCTTTTGTTGAAGGTACGCGTGGTTCATTTTTGTTTACTATTACAACTTCGCTAAATCGAGACGAGCAGATGAATAAAACAGAATTAAAGTTCTTACCTTAATAAAGTGTAATCCAAGCTTCGGATGTAAGGAATACGATCAATATTATTAGCACACAAAATAACACATTTATTAGGTATAAAAAGAAAAAATATCTAGCCATAATTACAAGCATTGTTTAATGTCCACTGCATAACGCGAGAAGTGAGTCATACAAAGAGAGAATGTTTCTCCTTCTTTTTGGATCAAGTCCAATTACAGTTAGCGGGGGTGAGGGGGAGATTAACTTCGGAGTGTACAGCTTCATCGCTGTCATTATGAATTGCTCCACATCTGCTACTTCTCTCTTTCCGTATTCCCGCCAAAATGCAGATTAACTCGCGTGTATTTAAGTGAAGGCTTGAGGCACCTAGCAACGTGATCTTCAATAGGCAGAATGCGCTCTGTCTAAACACTTTCCTAAATGATGAAACATTCATCATTTCCTTTCCTTTTCTCACTATTGTTCCACATGCTTATAAGTATGTACTTATTAATTCATGAAAGCCGGTATACAGCTTGCTATCTGCAAGCTACGCACGGCAATAGTGGAAAAAAGGAAAGGAAAGTGTTTAGACAGAGCGCATTCTGCCTATTCAAGACCACGTTGCTAGGTGCTCTATTCTAAGCTAAGAGTTCCCTTCTTTGGCCGTGCATAATAATTACCGATAGTATTTCACTTGGTGAAGCTGTATGAGCCACCTTTGCGTAGTTGCGTTTAAATTACTCTGCGTGTTTTTTGGCTGTTATCTACTCGTATTTAGATTTAGTTTTATACTGAATTTCTACTTTTAATTCTCGACATAAATGCTGTCTGATTTGTAAGCACCAGCTGTGCCTTCTATTCATCTGTTTTAATTTAAAATAAAATAACATTAAAGAGTAGGGAGATACTTAATGTTCAATGTTATATAAACCTTATTCAAAGTTTTGAAGATGCAAATTTTACTAACTTTTATTAGCACTTGTCAAAAACTAAATATAGTCAATTATGAATTTTTGCCATATGAGAGTAAGCTTTAATTTTTCAAAACGAATACAAAATTTTCCCAAACATAATTATAGAGTTCCGAGGAACGTATTTAAAAGGTAGATTTCATATTTCATACAAAATTTACTTTTAATTTAAAAATACGAAAACAGGAATCTTTCGAATGTTTCACCATTTAGTACTTTCTGTAATTTAAAGGATATGTCTACGACCAACGATTACAAAAATAAAAGACTGGTGGACACAGTGTATCCAGATAGATATAGAGATAGATTTAGATATAGATATATAGACATTTTAAAAATATTTTTTTAATTTGGTTTGCGTTACTTTCTCGCTTGTAATAACGACTACCATGTCTGCTAGAAGTTCGATGATAATATTTTATAAATTATACTTCCGAAACTAAATGGAAAAATAATTTTTTTGTTTTAAAAAATTTGGCGTTACCTTTTTATTGAAGCCGTGGAAAGCATCTGTGGCTTTTTTAAGTTTTCTTCCCATAGGAAATAAGCCGAATATTGTGCTGTTGTATGTCCACGGTTTTAAGATGCGAAGGGTACTAATTTTAAATATTCTGAAATGTATGAATAATGTATGAGTATCAAAATAGTATTTGCTTATAAAATTCATGATTAAATCTTAGAAATTCATAGCAACTAACAAATAAATAGAAAAAAAAGATGTTAAATTTACTTTCAATAAGATAATCTCTCAAGTCATTCGTAAATGCAGGATCGTAATTTTGACAAATGCAGGTTGACCTCATCAAAATTAAGAAAAGGTATGCATAATTATTCATTTAAATACATACTTTTTATTATTATGCATAATTTGTATAAAAAATATGATAACGGTCTTCTTCTTTTATTTTCTCTCGGTTCCTACTTTTCTTTTTTCAACTTCCCTAATTTTCTGTTAATTAATGTTATTCTATAGTTAAGTAATGCGGTTCATAAAATGAATAAGAAGTCATCATTAAGTTTTTAAGCAATTTTCGAAGTTATTTAAATTTGTGTCTTCTTAATCTGGCATCTACAAAATTATTTATTAAATCCTGAGCATTCCTTTTTTGAGACCAGTTAGCTTTAGTGCACAATACTAGTGCACAATATTAGTGCAAGTTTGAATGAAATTAAAAATACAGCAGATAAAAATTAAACATTTTTATGCATTTCTTGTTCAATTCATTTAATTTATAGACCATTACTAATGTAGGAAGAATTGACTAAGCAAGTCAAGTTATTGAAAATTCTTAGATACATCCTGGATTCGATCGCTGGAAACATATTTGTTCTTCAAATATACAGTATAAATAAAGCTGTCTTTATATAATACATTTCTATGGAATTTTCTTGAAACTAATAGCTTTTAAACAGATTGATCATCAGATTCCCATTCATTAGAAAGTTTTGTCCAAGATTTGAAAGAAAATTATTTATTTACTTTTGTTTGCTGCCTAATAAAAAGGCATTTGAAATATGTCTCTTGAGGCTTATTTAGATAGTAGATAATTTTTCAAAAACAACTTTACAACATTAGGTGGTAGGCTTGTGTAAGTAATAAAGTAAACATTTCATAAGCATTTTCTACTTTCAATCAAAATTTCTATTTGATAAAATATTCATCACTCTTTAGGTCATCAAATACAAAATTACACATTTTCGTTCAAAATTCACGAAGTTAAAACATTCTTTTGCGACGTACTCTCTTCGTATGTAAATGGTCGAACGGACCTAGAACATGTTTTAAGTCCCAAATGTTTTGTGCCTAGAATTTCTTGCTTTTGAAATAACCTCTTAACTTTATTAACGAATGCTGGCATATTAAAATATACATGAGAAATCAGTTATCCCTTGAATCTGATAAGTAAATCTTCTCTCCTTTGGTACCGGTTTTCCGGAAACCCATATATTTTCTGAAAGCTTATATCAAGAGTAGAAAACTTGCGAAGTCTTAGGGACAGAGGGACAAGCGTTAGGAGCTATAGAACCCACAAAGCATCATTGAAGTGTGTATAGATGGACATATTTCAGTAATGAAGTCCCCATTTTTTGTATGTTCATGCATTGTCTGCTTCCGAAGTACCTGATGGTAAAGTCCTACAAAAGGAAACTGGTACCTAAAGGATTTACGGGAAAGATCCAGCCTTTGGATATTCATATTTCCGGACACTACAAATCTTTTGTTCGTTACATAACGGACACAATCATTATCGAGACAGCAGGAGCACGTTTGGCATCGCGATAGTTTTCTGACCCTGCAGTCCTTTTCACTATATCAACTCTTCGTTTTAAGAACTTGATTAAATATGCTTTTTATAAGGGCAGATACTTGGACGACGAACCTGAAATGTGGATAGTACCAATGGATTATCGCTTCAATTCATTGAGAAATGATGAGTGTGCAAAGTGCGAGGCTATCGCTTTTGTAAAATGTGTCCATTGTGAACTGTCTTTCTGCCAGTCTCACTGTTTATTTGATGAATTGCACATTTATTGTCTCTTGTAATAGATTTTGTTTGAAGTCAATAATAAGCCACATTTTCAACATCCCAACGTTTCAACGAGTTGTTTCTTTCTTTACAATGAGATCCCTACCTTCTTACTATATTATTAGTTCATAAAAATACGTGAAACGAGCATTTTAACAACCTTTGATGTCATATTTCCAACACTTTTCTAATACTTTGTGGGCCCTATAGCTCCTAAATGCTTGTCTCTCTGCCCTTAAGATTTAACAGTTTTTCTACTTGTGACATAAGCTTTCAGAAAATATATGAGTTTCTGGGAAACCGGTGTCAGAGAAGAGAAGGTTTACCTGTGAGCATTATTCGAAAGGGTGATCACGTATTGGAAAATATTTAACCTATCCTTAACGAGCACTTATGAGGTAAGGTCCCACAATCATAGAGTTATTTAAAACTGAATTGCTTCTGAATACTTCCGTGCTTAGGCTTCCAATTATACGTATATATTTAGGAACTTTTAATTCAAATTTTGTACTACATTATTACCATATTCGCATGTTTTCCTTGAAACGCATCTGGTGCAGGATAGTCTTTAACTATCTTCATTCACGCATTCAAAATTATACCGCCAACACATTCCACTTTCTCCTTTCGTCAAGATAATTTTAATTAAGTAAGAACTATATGTCAAAGCTTGTTGCATAAAATATTTTTAATGTATTTTATTTGCTCCTTTTGACAAAATTTTATTGACAAAATTATTATTTAAAAAAATCCTTTTTCATCAATAAATAATGGCTCTTTTACTTCCAACAAATTCTCTAGTTAATTTCAAGAGCATGGTAAAAAATGAATATACATTATTTACCAGAAAAATTTAATGCATTTAATTATAGATTATAAAGAATATCTGTTAAATATTTGCATAGTCGCCTGTAGTAACGGCAACCGCCGGCAATAAAAGGAGGTGCTTTCCTTAGTGGCACTGCAGTTCCTTTTAGTTCGAGCCAGAATAGACCTGCCCAGGGAGAAGCCAGGGGATGAAAGATTCCGGTTTCCGCCCTGTTCCGGTTCCCGTCTTGTTGCGGATCCAGTCCTGTTCCGGTTCCCGTCTTGTTCCAGTCCTGTTCCGGTCCTGATCCAGTCCTATTCCAGTTCCAGCCTGGCCGTTTAAGTCCAAAACACGTAGGAGCGGATGTCTGAATTCAGCGGAATGGAGATATACGCCGAAAGGGCTAGATGGATTCTGTCTTTTAAGGGAAAGTGTTCTTCACCGTGCCGGCATAGCTGTTACTTTAAAGCACTTTGAAGTTTTCCACCCAAGATGTTAAGTTTTTGTTTGTGATGTTAAGTTTTCATCAGTGTTGAAGTTCCAGTTAAATAAACCTTTAAGTTTTAGACAAGGTTTTTGTGTTCTTCAGAAAATCTTAGATTCGAAGTCAGATATAACACATAGGATTATTATCGGAAAAATCAACATTTTGGCATCAAGCGACAGGATATTGTCTGCAAGGTAAGCGACTTTTTTATTTTTGAATCATGGAAGCTTTAAAATTAGCAAGAACTCAATATAGAAGACTATTCAGTAAAGCTTGTAATGAATTTGACAATGTATTTTGATAGGTGGAGACTTCTGGAAAGTAAAGTAAAAGATCTTACTTCTGGAACCCCGAATGTAACTTTAATTGATCCGTCCTTTGTTCAGAATAAAATGTTACATTATCCGAAGATTAAATTGCCTATCTTTGACGGCAACGTGAAGAAATGGCTGGCTAGGATTTTGGGGGCAATTCCAAAAGATTGATAAAGATCCTACATTAGATAATAATGATAAATTTGCTTATTTAGCACAGGCTATGGAGAAGAATTCTCCTGCAGAGGCAGAGGAAATAGTTAAAAGCTTTCCGCCAACTGGCGATAGTTACAAGAGCGCAATCGAAGCATTGCAGACGCGTTTTGGTAACAAAGAATTACTAACGGAGATTTATATTCGTGATTTGCTAACCCTTGTTATTCAAAAACAAGGTACACACTCTTTGCGGAAACTATACGATGAACTCGAATCTAATCTAAGAGCCTTGGAGATATTGGGAATAAATAGAGGCAAATATTGCGCGATATTATATCCATTGGTAGAATCAGCATTGCCGAATGAAGTCTTAAAAACGTGGGAGAGACTTAGGTTTTCGCGTAAAGGATCAGAAAGTTTTAACCGGCGAAAACGCCGAGTTAAGAGAAAGGGAATCTGACCTTGAGCGCCTTTTATGTTTCTTGCGCGGTGAAGTTGAAAGTGAGGAAAGAATTTCTTTAGCAGCTAAATCTTTCAATGTTTTCGATCGATTGGCTCACGGTAATAAGAAAGGGAATTCGGGTTTAAAGATAAGAGAACCTCACTTAAAACCTACGGCAGCTGAACTGTTTACTTCTTCTAATGAAGCTAGAAAAGGCTGCATATTTTGTTCCAGTATAAATCATGGTTCTGCGGAATGTTTTCAGGCGCGTAACTTATCGTTGTCGGAAAGAGAAGTTTTGGTCCAAAGGACACGCTCTTGTTATCTGTGTCTGAAATCTGGACATTCTGTCAGGAGGTGTAGATTAAAAACAGTTTGTTTTACATGCGGCAAAAGGCATCATATTTTTCTATGTAAGGGCCATTCACAAATGAGTGAGACAAGGGCAACGGAACAGCCTCCAAATCAGGCTGAAACACTCGCCAACATTTCTTCAAGGTCTCCTAAAGTTTTGCTGCAAACAATAAGAGTAATAATTAAAGGAGATAAAAAATCTCGTTCGGCTCGAGCTATAATTGATACTGGTTCTCAAAGGTCATATATTCTGCAAAGCGCAGCTCAAGATATGGGTTACAGGTATACGGTAAAGGAATACCTTAGCCACGCATTATTTGGCGGTACAACGACCAGTTTGTGTGAACATAAAGTTTACAAAATTCATTTATCTAATATGTCTGGCTCGTACAGTTGTAATTTTGATGCGTTAAGTCAGCCTGTTATTTGTAATAGTATACCTTCTATTGGACAAGGAATATGGCTTAAAGAGCTTGCTGACTGTGGAATAAGTTTAACAGATCGTTTAGAAGGACCTATAGA